TTGCATGTCTTTGGGAAAATGCGGATGATTGCAATGTCTGCATCATAGGTGGTTCCGAGGTGCAAGTGAGCTAACAAAGTTTGTGGAACTTCATCACTGTGCTTTTTACTCATCGCTCCAACATATGTACTTGTTTTTATGTGTCATAAAATCTAGCGTGTTAAGCGGATGGAATTAAGGATGTCCCTCTGTGGCAAAAGCTGAGAGTTGTCCCCTAATATCTATTCTCCTGCTCTTTCATAGTCCTACTTTCCCTTCTGCACCAATTTAAAAAAATTTTTTTTCCTCACGATTTTCCAAGAGGGAGGAAGTGAGAGGGAAAGAGGGATAGAAACATGGATGAGAGAGAACATCGACTGGCCGCCTCCTGCATGCCCTCCACTGGGAATCGGGCCCACAACCTGGGCATGTGTTCTGACCGGGAATCGAACCGGCAACTTCTTGGTGCATGAGTCAACACTCAACCAGTGAGTCACACCGGCCGGACCCTTCCCCACCAATTTTAAACCAGTTTGGCACGGGATTGTCCAGAGGTTAGAGTCAATTTTTTTTGCATCTAGAAGTAGACATGTGACTACATGCTGGCCAGTGGGTTGGAAGCAGATATAGTGTATCATCTTCTGAAAAGTGGCCTTAAAGGAATAAGGATGGTGTGTCCTTCGTGTCTTTCTTCCTCCTACTGATGAGAATTCAGTCGTGATGGCTGGAACTTAAGCAGCCATCTTGGGTCATTAGATGGTAGGCTAGGGTTGCAGAGTTGGAAGGGAGCAGAAATCTGAGGTCTTGACAACTTCAGAGAGCGGAGCTATCCTAGCAGCCCTTTCCTTTTACTATAGACTTTTGGGGGGAAAAAAAGAAAAGAAAAAAAAAACCCTCCGTATTATTTAACACACTGTACTTAGGGGCACTCAAATCCAGTCTTAGGTAACACCTTACTCTCCCTGGATTAGATCACACTCTCAGTGTTTTGATATTCTATTTGGTTATTTTACCAATCTGTTAGGTCACTTTTAAAAAATAATCTCTAGAAAATTATCTCAAGCTTTCATTTGTTGCTTTACACATAGTGAATATACTTTGTGGTCAGTGTGGGACTGTTAATTGCTATCAGGTATTTTCACTAGTTATTCATGGAAACTTGTTTCTCTATGTGCAACATATTCTGCTATTTTATGCTGCTCATTGCCCTTGAAAACGATTCACAGGGACTCTGAAGCCTGGGGTGAAATTGCTCCCCCAGGAAGGGCTTCCGTTTGGTTCTGCCTGGAGAGAACTGTCCAGCTTGGGATCTCCTAAAACCAAGTTCAAGATTTAATGCAAGGTTCATCACCTACTCACTTCCTTCCTCCTTTTCTAGGCTTACACTTCTTGTAATCTGAGACCATTTCTTTTGTTTCTTAATCCTCACTCAAACATAAGTTTTTATTGATTTTTAGAGAGAGAGGAGGAAGGGGGGGGGAGAGAGAGAGAGAGAGAGAGAGAGAGAGAGAGAGAGAGAGAGAAACATTGACTGGGGATCAAAACCACAGCCTCGGTGTATGCCCTGACCTGGAATCAAACCCACAACTCTTTAGTGCATGGGATGATGCTCCAACCAACTGAGCCCCCCAGGCAGGGCTGAGGCCGTTTCTTATCATGTCTCATGGACAGCACAGCTCTCAGCACATGGAAAGTGACTGATGAATTTTGGCTGAATGAGTGAGTCTTTAAATTATCATGCCTATCTTGTTAACCTATTTTCTCTGCCTTTATTTTCCGTTGGTCGGTTAAAATGATGACTCTGTATCGAATATCATTTCTAATGGGGTGTTCTTTCTCGCTGTGGCTTTTCTTCTCTGCAAATTCCCCAAGTTGTGTGCCACATAGGAAGTGGCTACTTGGTACATAATTGCTTCCAGGCTAAGATTGCTCGAGTTCCCATGTCTCTGCCTGTGAGTGCATGAATCACACATTTCTGGGATGCCTCACACTTGGTGTATGGATATTTTGAACATGGTCAGGTTATCTCGGCAATAACCCCCATGGCCCAGTAACTGGCCCGTCTGCCTCTGATTTTTTCCCCCTCTAGTAGACCCAATCTCACTTTTCAGGAGTTCTCTTTAAAGCTGACCTCTGATTCTGTTATTTTCTTGCTCGCAGACCATCATGGCTTACACCACTGCCTATAGAATAAAGTCCAAACCTATCAGCTTCTCATTTGGCATCCTTCATCGAGGTGGGTTACCTCAATTTCATGAAAGAGTATGATCTCTGGGAAATCAAACCCCAGTTCCACTAGTTACTGGCCACGTGACTGTATATAAGCTAACTTCTGAGCACTGGTACGCTGATGTGTAAAACAGTATTAGTATTGCAAAGGATAACCTATGTGAAGCTCCTAATGCCCACCGGAATTCAAACAACACTCTAAGACATTTCTTTCTCACGGGGCCTGGAGGGGAATAGCATTGTACTCTCTTGCTCATGTATACATGGATACTCAATAAATGAAGGATCCCTCACCCATTGAACCTAGTTTGCTGATATATAAAGTGGGACTTTAAATGGTTACTTTGAAGCTTAAGTGTGGAAAGCACTGGGTTCCACACTTGCCACACCATTAAGGACAAATGTTCCCACTTCATCCCCCTTCCAAAGTGAGGTCCAACTTTCCTTTCCTACGGAACTGCAATAAAAGTGATAAATCAGAATACATTATATGAGAGAAGAATTGTAACTCTTATCTCTACTTTTCAAAATCCTAGCGTCCCTTTAAGACCAAATTGAAATACCCCCTACTCCATGAAGCGCCCCTGGATTCTCACTTTCACAACATGTATCCCCTGCTTTGGCCAGAAGGATAATAATGAAAGCAGAGGAGGCTCTTCGAACAATCTCAGCTGATACTTGTATTTCCTATATATCAACAAGTATAACTCTACGGTGTACAAAGCCAAACAGTGTTCTAGCTTCTGCTAAACCATTTTCGGTCATGAAAAATTCAGTGTCTTTAATAGGGGTCTACTTATTTCAGCTTTGGACACCTTAAATCTGTCCCCCTAAGTTTTCTACACTTGTTCTTAGGTATGTCTGTGTTTCTCTTTAAATATATTGCACAGAAATAAATAATATCCCTTAAAATACAGTGACCATGAATAACCCTTCTATAACTGCCCCTGTGCTAACAGTTTTCAGCAGCCACAGAGCTGTTTCCTGTTAATTGCATTGATGTTAAGACCCTGAAATCGTGGTTTCAAATACGTGTGAGTGCTAAATGCCATCTCCCCCGTCTTGAGTTAATATGGCTCTTTGATATCTAAGGTGGTTCTCCTGACACGGAACCATACTGCATGTCTGTGGGTATGTCTGATCTGCTTATTAAATTGTCGTGAGTCTAATCTGTCACTAGTGCTCCTAGATCCATTTTTCTCATGCGTTCTTCCAACGTACTTAATTCCTGTCTAAAACTTAGCTCATTGTGCTTTGTGCCACAGTTTACAGACTTGGCTTATGTCACTCTGTTATAGCTGGGGTTCCCTATAAGCAGTACCTCTGTTCAGGGGCACGGGCAGCAACCCTAGTGTGTCCCAAACAGGGAGGCTTCTGTTGGGCCATGCGCAGCGCTGCAGGGCAAGGGACAGCTATGAGTTCTCAACCAACACACAGCAGTTAGGGTGCAGGTGCCCCACTGGTGGAAGAGATCTGATGGACATCACTAGCAGCAGCGACAGCCACCCACAATTATGTGATTCTTGGATATGGAATCGATGTGTTTTGTGCTTCTGCAGCCTTTATAAACCTGGCTCTATGCCGTGCACATGAAGGAATTTGTTTTTGGAATTGAATCGTCTATGGTCTAAAGGAAATACCCCCTAGCGTGTGCGCATTGCAGACCACTGCCATTTGCAATAACAGATACGGCCAGGGGCGCAGCCAAGTCCTCCCCAAGCAGCCGAGGATCCGGACCATGAGCTACAGAAGGACGTTTCTACCACATGTCCCAAGAATCTAGTTGCCCTGTCAACTTCGCAGGTGTCTAAGGATCAAGTGCTTAAATTCAGAATAAGAAAGTAACTTCCTAAAAACCAAGAAAACATCAAAAAGCAGAATTTCAGTCTGTTCAGCTCACTAATTTTGTTTCTTTAAACTTGGTAAAGTGATATCTGCATATGACTAAACATGAAAATGGTACAAAAAGGTAATAAATGAAGAGTAAAGGTCTGTTCTTCCAGCATCTAGACTTCTATTTCCACTCGCCAGAGCTAACTACTGTTAACATTTTTTTGTGTTTCTACCCAGTAATAGTTGTAGATATAGAAGCACATATATTTATGATTTTATACACAAAATAATTACACTGTATGTTCTACTCTCTACTTACAAAGAAATAATAATAGATCTTACAGGTCTTTCTACACCAACACATCTATATATCATTTTTTTAATGTCTATATGGATGTCTTCCAATGGATTTCATCAGTCCTTTCTTAGGGGATATTTAGGTTGTCCCTGGTCGTCAGCTCTTACGTGCAATCTGTTTGCTAGGACAGATTTTTGCCATTGTGGAATCAGTGTTCTTCTGTGCATTTCTTTGCATAAATGCGCCCAGCACTATTAACCTGAACAGCTTGTTGTTTCTCGAGAGAAAAGTGATGACCTGCGCAGTGAGTGTGGCGCTGGAGTCCCTGTGTCGTGTTGAATGGTGACACGTCTCTGGGCCTGTGGTGCGTTCTCTGCCCGTTGCTTTCGGCCTCTGCCCAGAATGCAGCTTACAGTCAGGAAGGACAGAAGTCGTCCTAGTGGCAAAAAGCTGAAAGTCATGCTCCCCTTCGGGTCATCCTGCTAGCGAGTTCTAGAAAGCACGCCGGTGTCCGGGCTAAACGTCAGGGGGACGCTTAGGAGCAGGACAGAAGTTCTGAAACTTGCTCAGAACTGCAGAGGGTCCGTGCTAAGAGCTCGTGGAAGGCAGGTGGCAGAGCCCAGTTCCCAGCCTCGCCCTAACCGCTGTCTTGTCCCCGCAGTGAAGTACATGCGAGAGGCCACGCCCTACGTGAAGAAGGGCTCCCCGGTGTCCGAGATCGGCTGGGAGACGCCGCCGCCCGAGTCCCCGCGCCTGGGGGGCGGCCCCAGCGACCCGCCGGCGTCCTCGCAGTGCTTCTCCTTCCACCGGGATCGGAGGAGCATCCCGCTCAAGATGTGCTACGTCACCCGGAGCATGGCCCTGGCTGACCCCGAGAACAGGTAACAGGCCCCGGCGGTCGCATCTCAGACACTTTTCAGTGTGTGTGCGGGGGGGGGGGGGGGGGCGGGGGGGGGGCGGGGACGGGACATCGGTAACAAAAAGAAAAAAGAAATAAATGAATCTAAAACAAAAAGAAACTTTTCAGCTGCGGAGTTTCCCCGGGGGCTCTGGCCAGGCTGTGCCCCTGCGCTGAAGGCTCCCTGGTCTCCAGAGATCATCCTGGAGGGCGATGCCCGGTGTGTGCTCCAGCCAGGATTCCCCCTCTCTCCTCCGCGTTCCCCCTCCCTGTCCTCCCTTCTCCTCCTTCTGTCCTTCCTCCTCCTCCCCCTCTCCTCCCTCCTCCCCAGTCCTCCCTCCTCCCCTGTCCTCTCTCCTCCCCAGTCCTCCCTCCTCCCCTGTCCTCCCTTCTCCCCTGTCCTTCCTCCTCCCCCTGTCCTCCCTCCTCCCCTGTCCTCTCTCCTCCCCAGTCCTCCCTCCTCCCCTGTCCTCCCTCCTCCCCAGTCCTCCCTCCTCCCCTGTCCTCTCTCCTCCCCAGTCCTCCCTCCTCCCCTGTCCTCCCTTCTCCTCCTTCTGTCCTTCCTCCTCCTCCTCCTCTCCTTCCTCCTCCCCCTGTCCTTCCTCCTCCTTCTCCTTCCTCCTCCCCCTGTCCTTCCTCCTCCTCCTCTCCTTCCTCCCCCTGTCCTTCCTCCTTCCCTGCCCTCCTTCCTCCCCCTCTTCTTCCTCCTCCCCCTCTCCTTCCTTCTTTCTCCTGTCCTTCCTCTCCCTGTCCTTCCTCCTCCTGTCCTTCCTCTCCCTGTCCTCCCTCCTCCCCTGTCCTTCCTCCTCCCCCTGTCTTTCCTCCTCCTGTCCTTCCTTCCCTTCCTATCCTTCCTCCTCAAGAAGGGTGTGTATCCTGAGTTCTGGTTCTAGAAAGAGATGAAGAATAGGAGTCACAATTCTAAGTATCTCCTCTCGGTCTGCCACCGTCAGTTTGTGTGACTTTGGGCAAGTTCCTCAAACCACTAAACCTCCCATTGGGCAGCTATAAAATGGGAATGATTGAGACAGACACCTCCCTGGGCTGAGAGGATTAGAGGGAGAAATCCACGCGCAGGGCTTAGCCCGGGAAAGCCTGCCGTGGTCCTAAGCTGCGATAATATCCATTACTAATGCCAGGTAGTGCTGAGCAAGCCGGCCCGTCTGGGCCTCAGTGCCCTCAGCTGTGTATTTGGAGAGTCAGATGGAGGATACGTGAAGCTATTTTTCACTCTAAACCTCTTTTGTACTCTACAGAGGAAGGAGTGGCTCCGGTCCAAGCCTGGGTTGCTTTTTGCAAAGTCTGTATGTGACTTCTCAGGCCACAGGACAGATATGTCACCCAGTCTGGGGTGATTATAAAGAGCTCAGCCAAGATCATCAAGTATCTGGGGTCCCTCTTCCCTCAAAAGTCTCCCTTTAACTCATCCGAACAGAAAACAAACCACTTGGAGGAAAATAAGAGCTGTGTAGAAAAGAGAGGGGGGAGGGAACCAGCCAATAGGGAATCTCAGTGACCTTTGCATCCACATTCAAATGCTAAAAATAGGAACAGCCACTGGCCCTTCTTTCTAACATGTGTGGAACAGCTGCAACCCACCCGAGTCGGGAATATCTGGCTGGGTGCAGAGTCGATGGGGAGAAGCCAAAGGGCGCAGGGGCAGGGCGAAGCTGGCTCCTTGGCTCACTGCACAATGCCTTCCTGTTCTCTTCCTAATGAGCTGGCTCCGAGGAAACTGCAAGCCTTTCTGAGTCCAGCCAGCTGCAGTATCGGCCCTGCTGCCCCCACCCCCCTGTTAGTTACACCTACACAGGGACGAGGGATCAGCAATATGAGGGAGCCAGCGGGGATCAGCAGATGAGTCAGAGCGGGCAGACTGGGAAGGAGGCAGAATTCTTAGCTAATCCACTTCCATCTGTTCTCTGGTTTGTAGACCCTCAATTTCTGCCACTTTCCTGGGCGTGCAGTTGATGTCCTGGGTACTCTGAGTTTCTTCTTCCCTGGCCTCTTGCACACCTGATCAAACATGTCCTTTCTCCCAAGAGTCTGATGTCTAAGGTTTCTAATCCGATGGATGTATAATTTATTGCGTGCTTATTTTGTGCTGAGCATTATGTTAATTACTTCAGATCAGAGACCGAAAAGTGGAACCCTGTAGGTGTACCCAGCCCATAGGTTATGTTTTTTTTAATGGTCTGTGTAGTGTTTTAAAGAAATTTGAGCCTGGCCAGTATGGCTCAGTGGATTGAGTGTCGCCCCATGGACTGAGAGTTTCCAGTTCGATTCCCAGTCAGGGCAGAGGCCTGGGTTGCAGGCTTGATCCCCAGTAGGGGGCGTGCAGGAGGCAGCCAGTCAGTTTCTCTGTCACGTCAATGTTTCTCTCTCTCTAAAAAAATCACCCAAGGACATTTTTGCATTTATCTTCAGATAGAGTAGGAGGGAGAGAGGGAGGAAGAGAGAGAGAAACATCGATGTGAGAGACACATTGACTGGTTGCCACCCACCCAACCCCAACTGGGGCCGGGGACAAACTGCAACCAAGATACGTGCCCTTAGCGGGAACCGAACTCAGGACTCTCCGGTCTGCGGGCCCAATGCTCTAACCACTGAGCCCAACTGGCCAGGGCAATAAAATATATTTTTTTAAATTAAAAAAAATTGAATTAGTGGCCATATTGAATAGTTGATTAAGAAGCCAGGTTTCTGCTTCTCTAGAATAATTGGAAGGTCTGCTGATAGATATTAGGCCCACGTGGCTGCAGGTAGCACTCCAACCTACATGAGTCCCTAAAGGCTTCTCCTTGGACAAGAACGTGAACTCTTCATCACTCCTGTTGCCTTACACTTAGGTTACCTGCCTGGTCCTATGCATTTCCTGCCTAGACCTTGAATGTGTAACCCTGCTTAGTCCTCATAACAGCCCTCTGAGTTGCTGTCATTGTCCCAGTCTACAGATTAAAAACAAACAAACTGAGGCTCGGTGCTTATATAGGTTTCATACATCATGTAGCTAATACATGGGATAGCTGAGCTTCAAAGTCACGCCTCTGGACTGGTTGATCGTGTCAGTGTGCCACTACCAGAAACATGCAGAGACTAGAGCACTTTGGAATCGTGGAAGTGATTAGTGCATTGGGGAGAATTCAAGTAAATGATTTCTAGGGTTCCTTCCAGCTGTGACTTCCATGTTAGAACATCCCTCCCAAGGCATTTAATTATTTCAAAGAATATTTGGGGAGCCATCATGTCTTAGTACAAATGTTGGAAACTTGATTCTGTCAAGCCGGTGGAGGGAATGTGTTTTTAATCTTTCTATCAGTGCTCATCAAGTCCACCAGTCGGTGCTCAGGGCATGTATGCAGGGCCCCCAGGTGGTAGGGGAGGGCCTGTGCTGCTAGTGTGTGAGAACCATCAGGGCGGGGCGGAGACGACAATCCCGCTGAGCCAGAGGGTCCAGGAGGGGACTTCAGTCCAGACGGACCCAAAGCGTCTAATAATGAAGTTACCCTTTTCCAGTGTACACGTGTATCCAGTCACCACGATGAACACTTTAAATATCTTAGCGTTTTGTCAATTATACACAATGAAGCTGAAAAAAACATATTAGTGATTTAGGTGGGTCTTGACCCCAGTTAAAGAAAAAAGGAAAAGAAAAAGAAAAAAAATATTTTATAGAACTCCAGTTACACGCTGGGCAGAGTGTAATGTACCAGTCAGAAACGTGGACTCTGTGTTGAATACAAGACATACCGAACACAAGGTGATTTTAAAAGGCAAAAAATATAGGGGTGGGCAAGGCATCCAAGGCAAATGCAAACGAACAGCAACCACAGACAGCATCAGTTTTGACCCTGGTGTATGACAGGGTGAAATGCAGATCACAGAGCACGAAACAAGACAGACAAGGACTGATCTCTGCTGAAGGCCAGAGTTAGCCAGGGACCTTCAGCAGTTATGAATGCACAGTAAATAACTCAGCAGTGACCTTTAGGGCAGGACCCGCAAGTGGTGTGAGAAGAAAGCGAAACATCCTGATATTAGGTAATGCAACATACCACTCTCAGTCCAAGGACAGGGCAAGTGGACAACAGGTAAATACAGATATAAAAGACCCACCCTGGCCTGGTGGCTTGGTTGGTTGGAGCATCATCCTGTACACCAGGGGTTCAATTCCTGGTCAGGGCATATGCCTAGGTTGTGGGCTTGATCCCCAATCAGGGTGCATATGGGAAGTAGCTGATTGATGTTTCTCTCTCATATCAATGTTCTCTCTCTCTCTGTCTCTCTCTGTCTCTGTCTCTCTCTCTCTCTCCCTTCCTCCCTCCCTTTCCTCTCTCTCTAAGATCAACAGAGGGCATATCCTTGATGAGGATTTAAAAAAAAAAGATGTAAAAGACCCAAACAACATAATTAATAAGGGAGATCTGGTTACATTGCAAACTTTGTACCTGATAATGAAGAATACACTTTCCTTTCAAATTCACCTAGAACATTCACAGAATTAACCATGGACTAGGCCACAAAACATGCAGTAAGTTCCACAAGGTAGAAATAATACAACGTCCTCAGGTAATAGTGGAATAAAGCTAGAAAATCCATAACAAACCAAAGCACAGAAGGTAGTTCTTCATGGGTTTCTAAAAGCTCTCTATGAAACAACTCTTGGGTCAAGGGGGAAATAGAAACTGCAATTGTAGCATTTCTAAAAAATAATAATAATCATCATCATGAAAATAATGCACATATTCAATATAAAAGAGAAAGAAGGGAAGAGGGAGAGTGTGGACTTAAGATCCACGGTGGACTCTTAAGCAAGTATCCAAACAACAACCCCAGGGCACGCACGGTAATCTCTGCTTCATAGACAATGTGTCTGAGTTCAGAAATGAGAGGTGAAGCAAAGTGTACACCTGCCGTGCAAACCCAGGCCTGGCCGACACCAAACCGATTTCTTTTTTGTTGTTGTTTTTTGTTAATAATCAC